ACCATGTACCATTATGTGCTTCTATTTGTACCTGTTACTAAATCTGTCTCTACTTGCAATACTACATGCCGTTTGAATTAAGAATTTCTGCTAAAAAAAACAGCACAATGGGGTAGCCTCCAATACTTTTTCATTGATGCAGAATATGGAAAAAAGGAAGCTGTGGTTTCTGGTCAACATAATATGAACACCATGAAATGATTGACATGACCTTTGGTTTGCTGGTACAAGTACATGTCTTTGGCCGAAGAAATAATTCAATTTTACATGCACGAAAAATAACCAGGCTGTTCAAATACCACCTTGGAGTTAATTTGGACAACCACATGCTAATTGGTGAAGATATGTGGAATCCAAATGCTTTCAAATATAGACACAGTCACTCAAGCATCTATATATTCTTGTGAAGTAAAATCCTATTGACTTCATCTTTTTTAAATGTTAGGGCGATGTGTGAAATCCATGTTTTTATCCATCATTTAATCATGATATTAAATTACGTGTTCTGCCAGCTAGCATCAAGCCCTACCAAATATGCAAAGTGCTCTGCGAAGCTACAGCTTTCATGTCCCTTTCCTAATGGGGCGCAGCTGGGATTTCTTTTCAAATGCTACCATTATAACAACCACGAGCTAGTTAACCTTTGAAGACACAAACGCATGGAAGCTTTTTGCCAGAGAATCGACACAAACCATTCCACCTTTGTCATTTGCCCTGTCGTCATAGCACTATGCCGGTGAAAATTTCTCCTGGCAGTCACAAAACGAGGTTGAGACAGAAGGCTCTAGGGCCTGGAAACAGCCGACTGCTGTGACAGGATCCGACCAAATTAGCTCCTTTTTACCGTTGCCGAGCAACACCTTCCTCGTCCAGTTGCTTGGGATTGTGGGAAATGTTTTTCATCCGGACACATTTTATGCCATATGGAAACTGTAGACGCCTGGATACCGCGAGAGAAGCTATCCTGAGTCTCGGCCTGCCATGTCCTGATATGCTGCCTACAGGAGGAATGACTCCAGCATGTGGAGAACCATCATCACAGCCATTGTCATGCTCACTCTCCTAGGTGAGGCAAAGGGGTGTATCCCAAATTGTCTTATTGCGGTTTCCAAAATGACGATTGGGCAGATCAAAGAATTGCTGGCGATAATCATCATCATCTCCTTGCTTTTCTACCTTTGCTGCATACAATGTGAGGTTGACTAAAGATTTTTTGAGTGTTCTCCATACAACAAAAATTTCTGGCACAAACTAATCATCTAACTGTAAAGTGTCATCAAAACAGTGAAGCAATATAGACATTCATCAATTTTTACCTCTGCAAGAAAAACGCAACCTGAAGGCTGAACCTTGATGTCTCTATCAGAGTAACCGAGACAGATTGAACATGTATGTATATTAAATATTCTTAAGCCTGGAAGCGACCATTCATACTGGTCAACCTGGATTACTACAGTGGCTCAGTGCTCAAGAACGTATTTGATAATATCATCAATATCTTTGCCTCCTTATTGGTTTACCACATTCATCAACGACTTGGGTGACCAGCTAACAAAGGCCACAATGGAACTGTCTCTGTACAAGTACGTGTACATGGTATTCTCACATTGGGGATAGACTGGGCAATCTAAAATTGCCAAGAACGATTGCAACAAGAGCTTGCCACAAAGTCACAACTGTGGAAAGGAGCTTGCCACTGCTGCCATATGCATTGATACTGCATACATGTACGGTACAGGAACATGTGAAGCAGATATTGCCACAGTTGCCATATAGGGTAACAGAGCAACTTTGTGAGACTTGTTACCATATATGTTAAGACATTAGACAGACAGTGGTATATCAAGCAATCTGAGTCTTGGCACGATATATATATTCACAGGATAGACTGTACCTTACATAATCCACAGGAATTCACTCCTTTATATCTTTGTGGTTTACTCTCAATGTGACACTGAGATTGTGTAAAAGTGTTATGTATTTCAGTTAATGTAAAGGCATTATGCTTCATGTTTGTACAATACCATAAGCACCTGTTCAAGCCATCTGTCTGGCAAGAAGACAACATTTTCCTGCAATAGTCAAACCATGTGGTTGTTGTTCTCTCAATGAAGACCACTGTATATGACTGAGTCAGAAGTTTGTTGGTCACACTGTCATAAGACAGCAAGTCATACAGTACTAGTAGTCACTATAGATAAAGGCCATTATCACTATATTCTTTCAAATTTTCAACGTGGATTTTTCTCATAATGGATCTTTTTCTATCAGACAAGCCTGACAATGGTGATGTTGAGGTCTTCTTTGCTATTGTGATTATCATATGTCTGATTGTGTATCTCTGTGCAAGGTGCGTGTCTTGCATAGATGAAGAAATGCATTAAATTTGCCACATATTTTACATGTATCCCTCCTCAGACCAGCTTCAGCAGTGGTAACGAAATGCTATCATTAGTTTCGTTGACATCTTACTGTTCTCACTATTAATATGACCTACTGCAATTAATACTTTTGTCAGCAATCTTTTCCTTAAGAGAATAACACCTCTACACAGATAAATACTTAAGAAACTTTGTGATTAGTGCTATCTTTACTGATACGTAACGATATATTCAAATATTTTTTTCATCAACAAAATGACAACAGTCACAACACACAGATCATTGAAAAATTTGTTGTTTGTTAATGAAATGTTGCTCAGTACTCACAACCTCTTTTATGGCCCACAGTGTTTCATAATGATATCAGCCTGGGTAGTACTGTGTGGGTGTGTTGTAAAACTAATAGACTACCATGTTACATGTACTTGTATGTAAAATGTAATCTGAGGCCCTCAGCTACTCTCTGTAAGGGGCTCAAATGATTATGTTGTCTTTTATGACCACCTGGCTTCTATCAGTGGTGGTAGTAATATGTAGGCTAGTCTTGAAGGTGATAAGAAGTGAGAAGGGATCCAGAGTTCCAGACAGTATTAAGATTGTATATGAATGATGACAATTTGGGGGATAACAAAGCCTGAATGTCCAAGTATGTCAACATCGAGCTACTGCAGGGTAATCTGTATGGTATGTAAGCTGGTACCACAATGTGGTGCTAAGGCACCCTTAAGACTAGACAACAATCAATAGTGACCATTGAGTGACTGAATATGGATTTGTATGACCATTGATTTTATAATTGGAATACGATACAAAATACAAAAATATAATTTAAAAGATAACAAAATACACAAAACCATTAAGAAGATTTGTTATTATCTATGAAATTTGTTAAGTTGAATGTTTGGTCACTCAGCAGTCAAAGCCTCTGGTGGAAAGGGGGTATAAAGAAAGAAATGTTATTTGTATCAATAGTCTTATTGTTTTGTATATGGATCATTGGAAAACCAGTAGACTTTGAGCAGGCTCTGTGTGTACTGTTAAATATGATAAGATGAAGATAAACCTTGCTGGCATGGTTCATTTCTGCCTTTGTAACCAGAGATACTGTAATATTGCGTCTTGCTATTGCAATAGTACTAGTCCATCTTGGTGTATAGAATCTTCAGTGAATACTCAGTATGACACGGCATGCCATGGACAGTTTTGATAGTCTTGTAGTGTAGTACATTACATACTCTGAAGCGGACGATTGTAGAGTGGGTCGTAGTCTTCCAAAGTCTTGACTAATTATTTCATTGACGTTTAGTACTGTATTAATCTGTTATACGGTGTCTGATAGCTATTTATAGTAATGTAAAAAAAGAAAAGCACATATCAGCTATGGTAGATATTTTTGATATTGTGGAGATTGTAAGTACATATTTGGGTGACTGATTAAATTCTATGGATGACAAAACACCTCAGATAAGATTCACAAATTCCACAACAGTCCCAACTGATGCAAGCTACTACTAGACTCTATATACCGATATATTATTTGAGGTCTGAGTCTGAAGCATGTTATATTCAGTTTTTGAAATGACCTCTCTACCATGAATTCATGACAAGAACTGTATTTTTTAACCACAAACTAAAACATTAGTCGAAAATCTCCTTTCCCCTTCTACTACCTTGAAAAGTACCCATGAAAATAAATAAATTTATGGTACCTTGAAAATCAATCAGTACAGACGTCATCTACAGAATTCAATTAAGACACCCTGATATTTACATTGTAGATTTAACAAAGAAAATGAAAATGTAACACAAAGCATTAAATCACCACATTCTCTTGACAAGAAAGCTATAAGGCAATAATATGTACATGACAGCACAATAAAATCAACCACACAGAGTTGTATGGGAAGACTTGTGAACATATGACGTAGTTCACATTCCTAACTACTGTAAACTGATGAATAAGGCTGCATATATTGCTGTAAAGTGTTTTGGTGCCATATGGGAGTTTCAGACTTTAAAACATCTGCTGTCCTGTGCAATTGTTTGATGAAATTATGTGAAATGCATATCAAAGTATTGTCTGACATCAGCCATTTCCATGTGTGTAACAAAGTTTAATGAGCCTCTACAACAAATGATGGAAAAAAATAAATCGTGTCTATTGTTCACAAGCACTGTAGTGTTCTGATCACTTAAATTATGTTAAGATCATTTAGATAAAGAAATCCAGCAAAGAATCCAGGCATTCAGCAGATGACCATTAAAGAGCAGTTTGATTATTCCTTAAGTTAATAAAAACAAACAAACAAACATGAAATAGAAGGCTGAGAGGCCAGAAGTACATGAACCTAACTTGTTGTACATGTATTAAGCCCTGAGTGGGTACTCATGTACCTCCAGTGACTTGCACTGTTGCAGTGACTGTGTGATGAGTGGACCGTCCTGCCAATCTGCAGTTACAAAATCTCCCCCTCCCTTCCTGCTACTCTGGTGAATTCAAATACGTAAGGACACACAAACAAACACTCACACATACTGTACACATGCACACATACACACACACACACACTAATAACTACAGTACAGGTACAGTATAATAAATTGTATTAGTGTACTCACGTGTTTCCTGGGCCTGACATGTTGGGACACGTTGAGCTGGTGCAGTACTCTGATATTGTGCTGTACAGCAGGTTGATATTATGGAAAAATGATATTGCTGAAAAAAAGGAAAATTGGTTAATGTAGGAAAAGTCTGGGCTGCTTTCTTGCCCTGACATGTATTATTTAGACGGAAACACCAGAGAAGGACTGGGAGCTAATTTGATAAACCAACATGTCAAGTCGGCAGCCCAACTATATGACAGCTTACACATGACTTCATCATCCTGGGATCAATCTAAATGGAACTCTGACCAGGTCTACATCCATCATACAGTCCTTATATATTAGATTACCAGTAGATGGATCATGGTACAAACACACACCATGTGAGCATTACTAGTACTGCAGGCAGATCAACATTAAAAACTGGTGCTACAGCAGGGCAGGAACATTGGGTATTTTCCTCCAAACGGGTAAATTTATGACAACATGCAATATTAAGGGAAATAGAACAAAAGCATTTAGAACCTTGATTTGCCAGTTTGACTTTAAATTTCAATTGTTGTGTTTGTTGATGTGACAGCACAGAACAGAATGTTGAAGGTAAGGACATGTTGACTTACTGTTGGTAGCTAACCACTCATCCTGGTCGATTCCCTCTGGTAACCTGACTATTATTCTCAAGTCCTGGTCTGTGATTGCTGCCTGTACATACTGCTGGTCCAAATACTCCTTTTTCTCTTCTATAACTGGTTTCTTCTCCTTTTTACTGGCTTTCCTGCAATGGCAAAAATGACATCAATTAACAATTGAATTTAAGTCCTAAACTACACGTGTGGCTGTCAAATATGCACACAAATGTACCAGAGACACAACTACAAGAAATGTTCTTCAGGTTTTCAAAGTTCTTTAAGCAAATTATAATTTTTAAAGATGCTCATAAGGCAGTTTTTTCGCAGACCCTAACTATAATCTTCAAGCATGTTGAATCTATATGAGGGGGTACGGTGCCTGTGGTAAAATTTTCCGAGCCGAGGAGCTAGCCCGTATAACTTGTCCTTGGCAACAGGCTAATCTGGGTGCCAATGAAAATGTTTAACATCTACATATACCCACACAACTTGATAAATCAAAGATAATTCAAAATTTCAAAGAAAATACAAGATGTCGATGCCTGCATGACTTCATTTACCTTTGCATATTATAAATTTACAAAAAAACCTTATCTTGCAACTTTCACGTGCCCAGTATTACAATTACTAAGTATGTAAGGACATTTATGCTGAGCCTCCTAGCTTCCTTGTGATTGTGTACATGCAGGCATCTCCCCATTATTTGTCTGCATGCCAGACCATCTGGTTTGCATAATTCACAGGTAAAACCTTGGGCTAATAGTATCCACAGATGAAGACCAGACTACTTTCACAGCAATATCTACTTTGCTACATCACAGCAGTAGCAGTGACAGACTGGGCCCCCTAGAACCAGACAAGAATACATTGCGATGGATTTCTGTCCAACAGGAATTCTAAGGTCACTAAATTTGGTTTCCCTATCAGAGGTCAATAACCAGGTCTTCCTTCCAGCCTTATCTAGAGGACCACATTCTGCTGCAGGCTGAGGACTGCCCCCCTCCCCAGCCCCACACTTCAAATGTTGAACATCCTAATATAAAGGCTATATGATAGAAGTTTAAATAAACTGGCCATATTACATGCCACATATACACAATAAACTAATGCTTCCTTTTTTATTAAAGCCCTTCTATAATACACAAAAAATCTGAACTCAGCTATATATAAATTGCATAAAAATAAACCAAGATGATCACTGGTAGGATCAAGCATTCATCTGCAAGAATTTAGCTGGGACATATATAAGGAATGGTAAAATACATGGGTGAGTTTCCCTCTTAAATCACCATGGGACCGTGTTCAAAACAACTGATGCTCACAAAACCATCTGTGCTGTTCAACGGCATATGATAACATTTCCTCTCAATAACTTCTGCTCCTACTTGATAACCTTCCTGTACACACCAGTACCATGCAGGGACATACCTTTCATTCTTGCTAGGTTCCCAAGTGTACCTCCATCCAAAGAGCACATCCATAGCTACACTAGTAATGAGGAATTATTTCTGTCCTTCTGTGAGCCAGGGCTGCAAGGTTAAAATTATCTACTGTTTGTGTTTGTGTCATCTGATTCAACCTCTTGGAACTGGATACCCCTATGAGAATGCATCCTGTTCACCCCCATATTCTGATCCTGATGGGCTAGTCTGACAGAAACACAGCTGGGAGGCCTGGCTTAGTACACTATCATCCAGGGGTGCTCCCTAGACATCTGTCACCATAGCACAAATTTGCATGTCAACATGGCATCTCTTAACAGGGGAATTTTACTTATTTATTCAAAGTGTGGATGGCTCTTACTGTTGGTGACAGAACCACATGCTTCCATCTTTAATGCTGAGACAGAAATATTGGGATATATATAAGTCTGGAAATACCTGTGTCCAAAGAAAATCATTCTTGGTATCTAAGTGCAATATTAAGCAGCATGATGTTTAATTCATGTACAGGAAGCACAAGAGGACAGGGAGCCCATGAAAGATTGATAGATATAGAGAGGAATTCCTTTGCAGTAATAAATTTATCACCAAGTCTATGAGATACAACTTGCCTCCACTAAAACTATTTTTATGAGCAGAAATTATTCACTTCAATAGAAGTTCAATTCAACCAAAACCTTAATTGCAAATCTAAAATCTTATGCAATCACCTAAAATTTTATGCAAGAGATATGTATCATGTCATGTGGGTTATTAAAAGTAAATGATAATATTACAATAGGTACCTCCATGTAGGCATAACTTTATTTTCAGTCAAGGTAGATACTGTTATATATATAATATAAATTAGAAGTTGCCAACATATAAGGTTGGCATAAATAATTGAATACTAATCAACTGAAAAGACCATAATGGGCCATAAAATCAGTGTCATCAAAATATGTCATCTAAATATGACGTGCCTATAACATGGAAATATGATGTCACCATCAAATACTTTGCCAGCTGTCCTGTTTTGAAAATAAGCAAAACTCTTGAGTTAAACCAATAATCAGAATATGCTGATGACAAAAGACATATCTAATGAAATGTCTTTGTGCAAAATTATGAATTGTTTTGACTCATAATTAATCAATATGTGTGCAATAGCTATTTCCAATGACAAATTTAGAAAATACATGTATCATACATGTCTACAAAAAACTGCTAAAAGTGAGTCCCTTTATGATGATTATCATTATTATGAAGTACTAGTAATCAGTTTTTAGAATCATTTGGAGAGGGGGATCTCAAGCGTGCATTTCCTGTTGTGCTACAGAATTGTTTTAACCATGAACTTCAAACACAATTAAAACCTCCTTTTCCCTAATACATACAATGAAATAAAAAGACTGCGAAGTAATTGCATTGAACAGTATGCTTTAGTTATGACTGATCAGCTTTAAGTGGTACTTCTTTGACTACAGCTGGATCAATGGTATGTAGTTTTGCACATGCCCACTGGATCCTGGGCTGTGGATATCTATAGTACTTTCACTGGCAATTGTTGAGCCATCAATATTGGTTGGTTTCCAGCCTTCAAAAACTATTAAGGGATTTTTATAATAACTTTTTGATTATGTGTACAAAATAAGTAAAGGAATCGTACAGATTTTCTTTTGAAATCTGATTGTATGTTTCTCTTTTGGCGTTATTTTTTTTTAAATTATATTGTATTTTATAGACCTTGGCTGCAAGAGGGGATGGTTACATGACAGTTTGGGCTCCATTCACGTGTAGCTTCTTCCTTATTGCTGGTAGGGAAAACTGTATATTCAAACTTGTCCAAGGACATGACAATTGTGGCTCTCCTGGGAATTAGGCTGCTGAGTACACTGGACATACATGTAAAACAATGACGCATGCAATAAACTGTGTGTAGTAGCAGACTGAAGTGATATCAACTCCAATATTGTACAATATTGTTCTGCATGCAGCTATTGGTTGCATATCAAGTACGAACTAAGAGTAAAACAATTTGTTTTCACCATATACACCAAAATTGAACCTAAACTGATACCTTTATAGAAACCAGTCTCCAAAATAGAATCAAAGATTATATATATAGGCAGTAGTACATTATAAAATCCTATAAGTAATAAAAATAATCTACATTGAAATGTGAGAGTATCAACAATTATGTTGCACTTGAAGTCATTAGAGATATCACCATAGCAGAACAAAGGACTCAAGGGACATAAAGAAATGTCAAATTCTCAGACATCTTGAAGAAAACAAGTCATGTTTACGTATGACTCACGGCTGTATTGCTATATCGGCTGCTTTTGTTAATACGGTAGACTTGGTGGTTTGTGTATCATGGGGATGTATCGTGATAATGTTCTTCCATCCAGTATCGACCATTTACACACATATGACTCACCACACTCTATCACACCACTTAACCTCACAGTATGTCTAGAAACACAGGATTGAAATCCACAGTAGAAGTCAGCAAAAATTTCAAACCAACTTGAAAATGCTCTCAGGGCTGCAGCGGAACAACAGTGACATCATCTTGGTGCCGGCTGGAGGTGTTCCTCGGTAGTAGATAGGTGTCCGTCCACGTGGGAAGAAGAACTTCTAGAGTGAAGCACAAGGGTTGTGCCGATTCTTTCCCCGAACCTTCTTTCAATACCAGAGCTATTCCTGCCTGCACAAATTTTGCAGGGCTACAGGATCAATCGCCCGATTCACCAGAATCACTTCACATGCAAACATGACTTGGTCCTGCCCTGTCCTGATTTGTCCCGGCAAACTCACAGCCCTGGCAGCCAGCCATCCATTAGATCCACACATGTTTCTATTGGCCCCTATGGGTAAAGTGGACCAGCCTAGAATTACTTAGCATCTGGCATAAGTTGGCCTGGTCCACTGTATCTCAAGGGTGTCCAAAATAAAGACTAACTGCCCTCTTACATCAGCTACCATCAAATCTAATACACCATACACACACACATGTGGAAATACATTGTGGCAATATTTGGAGTTATGGAATGGTGCCTACAATTTTAAACAATACTGCTATGATAAAAAAATCAATGACAACATTCATATTTTTATTCAGTAACACTGCTAATACGTCTGACTCACAATCCTTTGAATGACATGGATACAGCAGTGATTCAAGCAATACCTGAAAGTAAACCATACTGTGTCCCATAACAAGTACAGATTTAAATGATTGATTCATTTTGTTACACTAACACTAGTAACAGGATAATTATACATTGACGTTAACCAACTGAACATATCTTCCCACAGCTGCTTAGACACTGGTTACATGCCTGATACACCAATCTTAAAGTTTAAGTTTTTTGGCCCATACTTATTCCTTGTACATAACACTTTTCTCAAGTGGTTGGCAGGCTACTACCATCATACTGTAAGAGCATCTAATCTTTGGCAATGGTTTTATTTCACAGTATTGTGGAAAAGAAGAAAGTTCACTGTTGAAACAATTCTGTAGTACAGTAGAAATACAAAACACAAGCTCAGGGTGTTATGATTATGCAGTAGGAGGTCGCAGCGAAAACAGAAACACCGCGAATATTTCAGGATGTACAGTAGAAAGAGTACATGTAGTTTGTGCCATTTGTGAGCCTGGCCAGCTCACCCTGATAAACAAGAATGCCATTCTCCACATTTGACCAGGGAAGACAAACAAGCAAGCAGAAAGTCTGCCAAAGGACCTGGGAAGGAATTCAGGCCTGAAACAAGATGCCTCAATTAGTTGAAGCAGTATTCCGATACCTCTTCTTCCATGTGAGACAACGACCTCATTTCAGCCATGAAGGTATTCCTCCAGCTAAACACATTTTTTGTGAAGCATATCTTGTCACTTTCCTATGACAGAAATGTCAGCAAAAAAAAAAGGAGAAAAAAAAATTGTGGAAACTGGCAGATCCTACGTATATAAACTTAACTCAAGCAAGCATGCAGCACTTCATTTTATTGGGCTGCTCAGCTGTATAGTATTGCCATCATCAATCACACACATGTTTACCAACAAGTTTTAACTGTTGGTCAGTTGGTTTTATTTCAACTCAGGTATGGGCAAGTCTGTGAATGTTTGTCAGGATTCAAAATACTAGTATTCAATGCTATGCCTATATCTGCACATGGGAGGTTGTTGTTGAATTACTAGTACTCAATAAATGTCTTTCTTTGAAGTGTGAAGTGGCCTTCGATTGTAAGCATGCTAATTGCATCCATAAAACAAAAAATGGGTGCTACTCAATCACCACCTTCATATGAGCCACACCCTTAAAGCAGACAAGGGATATAAATGTGGATTTACCTACCGCTACATGTCAAGAGACCCATTTTGTATTGCTCTCTAGTCTTTTCATAAAACTAATATAAGACAGAAGCTTTTCAAAATTTGACATTCAATAGTCTACTATAATATAGGTTAAGCCTAGATTTGACAGTACTACATTTTCAAATGGACTTTAAATTATTCAACACAATGTAGACGTATTAAGCCATTTACAATTTACTGTCACTGACTGTAATAAAGGTTGGAAGCACTGTGAAATATTGTAAGTCTATGTATACAAAGTTCTGTATTTCTTAACCAAAGCAACTGTTCAATAATGCAAGATAATGTCATGGTACACTAAATAAAACATGCAGATAGTTAAATGTTGAAGTTCATAGTACAATGTATAGTGAAAATGAAAGTGATCTCGAACCAGTTTCACTAAAAGACCTCAGTGAACGTACAGTTGATGTCATTGAGCTCCTCTCCAACTGGTCAAGAAAGAAGACAGACGCTAGTGCTGTATTATGTGTATAGTACATACAGGGTTGTTGTACCCAAGAAATCCAGTACAAATGACCAGTGCACCACATCCCATTCTAAGGACTGTGACCCTGTCCAGTAACATGCAATTGGGGTGAGTGACAACATCCAGGATTCGAACTCATGACCTTTTGGTCCAGAGGCAGGCTCACTAACCACTGGACAATGCAAAATGCATAAGAATCAGTCCAGTGCTGTATATATCATACCGGTACCAGAAATATAAAATTCTTCCTTCCAGGGATCCCCGGACCTTTCATTAAATGTATTCCACAGAGTGGATAGCTTAAGGGCAGAAAAAAGATCCCTCAGTCACATGCTTGAGAAATAGGTATCAGTAACATCTA